TACAGTGGGGCAAAAAAGTATTTATTCAGCCACCAATTGTGCAAGTTCTCCCACTTAAAAAGATGAGAGGCCTGTAATTTTCATCATAGGTATACCTTAACTATGAGAGACAAAATGAGAAAAAAAGTCTAGAAAATCACATTGTAGGATTTTTAAAGAATTAATTGGTAAATTCCTCTGTAAAATAAGTATTTGGTCACCTACAAACAAGCAAGATTTCTGGCTCTCACAGACCTGTAACTTCTTTTTTAAGAGGCTCCTCTGTCCTCCACTGGTTACCTGTATTAATGGCATCTGTTTGAACTCGTTATCAGTATAAAAGACATCTGTCCACAACCTCAAACAGTCACACTCCAAACTCCACTATGGCCAAGACTAAAGAGCTGTCAAAGGACACCAGAAACAAAATTGTAGACTTGCACCAGGCTGGGAAGACTGAATCTGCAATAGGTTAGCAGCTTGGTGTGAAGAAATCAACTGTGGGAGCACTTATTAGAAAATGGAAGACATACAAGACCACTGATAATCTCCCTCGATCTGGGGCTCCATGCAAGATCTCACCCCGTGGGGTCAAAATGATCACAAGAACTGTGAGCAAAAATCCCAGAACCACACGGGGGGACCTAGTGAATGACCTGCAGAGAGCTGGGACCAAAGTAACAAAGGCTACCATCAGTAACACACTGCGCTGCCAGGGACTCAAATCCTGCAGTGCCAGATGTGTCCCCCTGCTTAAGCCAGTACATGTCCAGGCCTGTCTGAAGTTTGCTAGAGAGCATTTGGATGATCCAGAAGAGGATTGGGAGAATGTCATATGGTCAGATGAAACCAAAATATAACTTTTTGGTAAAAACTCAACTTGTCGTGTTTGGAGGAGAAAGAATGCTGAGTTGCATCCAAAGAACACCATACCTACTGTGAAGCATGGGGGTGGAAACATCATGCTTTGGGGCTGTTTTTCTGCAAAGGGACCAGGACGACTGAAGAATGAATGGGGCCATGTATCGTGATATTTTGAGTGAAAACCTCCTTCCATTAGCAAGGGCATTGAAGATGAAACGTGGCTGGGTCTTTGAGCATGACAATGATCCCAAACACACCGCCCGGGCAATGAAGGAGTGGCTTCGTAAGAAGCATTTCAAGGTCCTGGAGTGGCCTAGCCAGTCTCCAGATCTCAACCCCATAGAAAATCTTTGGAGGGAGTTGAAAATCCGTGTTGCCCAGCGACAGCCCCAAAACATTACTGCTCTAGAGGAGATCTGCATGGAGGAATGGGCCAAAATACCAGCAACAGTGTGTGAAAACCTTGTGAAGACTTACAGAAAACGTTTGACCTCTGTCATTGCCAACAAAGGGTATATAACAAAGTATTGAGATGAAATTTTGTTATTGACCAAATACTTATTTTCCACCATAATTTGCAAATAAATTCTTTAAAAATCCTACAATGTGATTTTCTGGATTTTTTTTTTCTCATTTTGTCTCTCATAGTTGAGGTATACCTATGATGAAAATTGCAGGCCTCTCTCATCTTTTTAAGTGGGAGAACTTGCACAATTGGTGGCTGACTAAATACTTTTTTTCCCCACTGTATATATATATATATATAATAAATTACACTTATTTTATTAAAAATTATAAAAAAAACACTATGTAATGAAGATAATTAATAAACAGTAGTTCATTTACATTTCTATATGAATATAAGTGAAAGCAAATTAATCTAAGAGTCATGGCAATTCTATACATCAACTATTATAGCATGGATCAATGTAATACTGTTTATTGTAATGTACATAATGTAATGAAGTTGTTAAATACCACTGTCTATTATTTGAATAATATTTCCGATTTCATTATCCCTGGGTCCTTCCTTCCATGAGCCTATTTTCCTTTTTTTTCCCCTTCATATTGTCACACAAAAAGCAGCCATTTGGTAGTATGAGTGCAGGGAGTGAAGCATAGTCAATCTCCACAGCCTCCACAGTAATGGAATGCTTGCCAGAGCTAGACTGTTATTTTTCCAGTCCCTCTGGTTCATAGCATGTGCCTCAGGGCCCGTCCATCCCCATACACAGCATACCACTCTACTGCTACAAAGCAGCATTCAGCCTCCCCAAGAGTGAAACAAACGAAGAAAAAAACCCTTAAATAACCTTCACTTTATGTATTTATGTGGTCTGTGGTCATTGTACAACAGTTTGAAAACCACTGGCCTATTTTATTTGGTATTATTTTACTATCATTGATGTATTATTATTGTTTTTGTTAATGTTTTGAATGAGGTTTTATATAGAATTGATAATAATAATATAATATACTGTAATATAATATTATATAATATTTTTTATTTATTAGTTATAGTTTAGTTTTAGTTATTTTAAATGAAAATGAGAAAGGCTGCCTTGGCAACTAGCTGAAATCAAATAAGTTTAAGTTTTCTTTTTATGTTATTTCAGTTAATGTTAATGATAATCACCCTGGCCTAGATTATCGTAAGTGATCATATAAGCATTTTGACATGTCATAACAGGTTATAATTATTTCAGGGTACGTTTACCTTGTCCCTGATGCCCTGTCGAACCGATTCCCTCTCCGCTTCCATTTTTGAATACTTTGCTTTCCTCTCCTCCTCTTGTTGCCTGAGGGCTTCCTGTCTTTCTTCCTCCTTTCTGTCAGCATCAGGGTCCTTCTCCTCCTCGCCCCCCAGCATTTTCCCCATGTCTTTGGTCGCCCCTTTGAGAAAAAAAAATTAGAGACTCAGGAACAGGATCTCACTCAACAGAGTCCATGGACTACATACTGGTCACAAAAAGGGACTCCAAACACATTTGGAAGATAACCTCTAACACAAGGTGAACTGAAAAGCAGATAAATTAGTTCTCACTGTCATCCAGTTTCTTTTATAAATACTCTCAATGTCGACTACTCTCTTTGTCGGCAAGACAAGTAGGACAGCCGCCAAGAAAAGAACAATGGGTCACATTGTTATAACAGAAGGACTCCATTAGGGCCATGAGAATACAGGATTTTGACAAAGAAATAATTTCTGATTGCATTTGTTGCGCACATTCATCAGTCATCAGATCGCTTGTTAGCGCTCCGCAGTGTGACTGTCTGAGACGTTGTGTATCTCTCCACTGTTGGCTCAACCGTATTAATGCAACACAATGTTAGGTTGTGCCAGGCTTACTTTTGTTAATAAGGGAGAAATTAGAATTTAGCAAAAGACAAGTGCTTAAAATCATACATACAATAACCCTTCGTGAGCAGCCAGCTAATGTGGTGCCCCTAAATCAGCTGTGTGTGAACAGACACTCAATATGCCATTAAATCAAGGGAAATAATGCATTGATTTTATACTGACAGGAACAAAAAAAAAAGGTCTTAAATCAGAGCAGAAAGTCTTATATTCATAAATTCATGGCATTAAATATTGCATGCACTGCACAAAAAACCTGAATATCTAGCGCCGTATTTTTGTTTGTTTTCCAATACAAAAATCTAAACATCCTTGAATCAAGATACATTATACTTGATACATCAAGATACTTGCAAATTAAACATATGAAGTCTTGTTTTGAACAAATTTGAGATAATGTAGACATAAAATTGAACAAAATGAACTAGGTTCATGCTTAGAACAAGAACAAACTTTTGTCAATGGGGTATGAAAACTTATTTTCCCTTTGAATTAGGTAGATTTTTCTGAGCCCAATGGCAGACATTTGTTCTTGTTTTAATCATAAATTCACTTCACTTTGAAAAATTTCTCATAAACCAAGGCTTATTTTATGCCATTTTGCTTCTCAAGTAAATGTGTCTTGACTTAAGAATCTTTAGACATTTGCACTTTTTTGCAGTGTGATCAGAAGTACAGAAATGGTTATTTCCGTATGTTTGGGAGCAGAGCTATTGAAGCATTTCCTTCTTTCTTTCTTTTTCTTTTTTTTTTTGTAAAATGAATTAAAAAGTAATGGAGATCTGTTGGGAGTTATATTTTCAAACCTTGAAGCATTGCTTATACAAGACATGCCTTTTTAAAACATAGATTTTCCCACTACATTTATCTGAAGCAACTTAAATTCCATTTATGCTATATTATATATCATTGCTAATGTCATGCTCTACAGTGTAAGAAAAAAATCCAAAGAAGAAACAGAAAATGTACTGGTAATTTCCTAACAGGACATTATCCGTTAAGTTTATGGTTAACGTCACCTATAGTATATATATACAGTATATATATATATGTATATTATAGGTGACGTTCTAATGAAGTAGCAAAGAGAAAAAATGAGTAACTTTAAAGGGTTCTCCTGTTGTGTCAGGCTGTGAAACAGTTTTGTTTCCAATGATGTCTATAGATATCACCAATATCTTGTGGTCAGTAGTGCTGAGCTCAAATAATAGAACAAATCTAGCTACATTCAAGACCATACTTTTTGTTCCTCTGCCACCTTTATGTTTGAGTTACTGTAGGCTGACATAGCAGAACAGAAAAGTTATCCAAATTCATGCAATATGTATTCATGTCACGTCAGTTTGTGCTAGGAGACAGAACGGCATGTAAATGCATGAAGGGTTCTGTTTTCAGTCCAGGAGTTTTGTTCTCCCTGGATCAGCAGTTGAGGGCGGCACACTGCCATTCCACCAGTCCATGAGGTCTGCGTTCAACCTGCATGACACATGGTCTCGCATTTACTGCTCTCTAGCAATTGATTTTAATGAGGACTGGGTCGCTCTGACAGCAGAGACGTGTAAAGACTTCGGCCTTCAGATCTGACGATTCACTTGCCTTTCATCAGCCTGGGCTGTTCGTTCACATCATACGTACATGAGAGTTAGGAGGACCAAGCTTGTCTTTACTCTGGAGAGGGTTACTGAGCACATAGTCATCTGCTTTTTGTCAAGCATTCATGAGAGACCCAGTTTTATGTTTAGTGCCTGCAAGAATCTTAGCGAAAGCTGCTAATAACTTGACAGTAAGAAAGTTAAAGCCTCAAAAACAAGATTGTTTTACTGTACTAAACTGACAAGAGGGTTTTACTGTACTAAATTAAGATTGCACATTGCTGGTCTAATAGTGTATAATTCATCTGGCTACCTTTTTGATGTTTATGTTAAAAATATAGTAGCAACAGTTAGGTTATACAGAACTGAACTTAAATATACAATAAAAAAGGTATGTTTTACTGATAAAGTGTAATATTCTATATAAAGTAATAACATTTATTTTGTACTAACATACTGTATTTATCATATGTCTCTTTTATTATGTATTATTATGGTGGTTATCAGTACATTATACCCTTTTCAGATACATCTTTCGGTCAAAAAGACTGCAATCAACTGCAAACTCGCTTTCAGTCTGACTTCATCTGTTATAGAACACCCACTTTTCAGTTTCAATTAATTTTTGATGAATCCAAGTTCAGCCCTACTTTTAGTTCTCAAAACATCTTGTTTTTGAAAGTAAAATGCACTGTAAACGGCATTGGCTGATTTTAAATTTAGCTGCATGTTGTGAGGTCAGAACATAAATATATATCACAGACTGATTGACATTTCAGCGTGACTCACTTCAGTCGTACTGTAATTCCGACTAAATGAAACAATTATCCGAACTCGTATGAAGCTGGAGCCCACCATTCAGCTTTAGCACAATCAATAGGTTAGTACGAGGCAGAATTGTACAACTTTATGAGCTTGAGCAAAGCATGCGAATAAGGACTGTAGGCTTACTACTGCTCTGAAATGGACTTCTGGTAGGAAAATGAGAGGAATCCATTGATTTTAGAACAGTTGATTTGGGGTTTTAATTTTTGGGTTGGATTAACCTATGAAAAGTGACTCAGCCATGTGTTGGTGCGTACCGACAACACAGCGGTGGTCTCTTACATCAACCAGCAAGGAGGTCTGCGCTCACGTCGTTTGTACAAACTAGCGTACCAGATCCTTGTGTGGTCCCAGGGCAAACTTCTCTCACTGAGAGCAGTTTACATCCCTGGGCATCTCAATTTGGGAGCAGACATCCTGTCGAGGCAGGGGCCGAGGCCCGGGGAATGGAGGCTTCACCCCAGCAGATATGGAGAGTCTTTGACCAGGCCCAGGTGGATTTGTTTGCGACTCGCATGACATCGCACTTTCCCCTATGGTTCTCTCTAAGTCATCCAGCTCCACTGGGGCTGGATGCCATGGTATAGACGTGGCCGAGGCTTCGTCTGTACGCCTTTCCCCCGATCGCTCTGTTCCCGGGAGTTCTGGAGAGAGTGTGCCGGGACGGCCTACCACGCCCCCCTTGGTGGCCAGTCAGTGGGTAGACAACCCCTAGTTACACGTTTCCTCCGCGGTGCGCTGAGGCTGAGGCCTCCGGTACGATCTCGTGTCCCCACGTGGGACCTGGCTGTGGTGCTACAGGCTCTCTGTAGGCCTCCCTTCGAGCCTATTGAGGAGATATCTGATCGCCTCCTTAATATAAAAAATACCTTCCTGCCCTTTCAGTGGCCCCGTCTTACCTAGACTTTGCGCCTGGTCTGGCCAAAGCGTTTCTGTTCCCGCGAGCGGGATATGTCCCTAAGGTCCCCTCCTCTACACCACGGCCTGTCGTACTCCAGGCCTTCAGTCCTCCTCCCTTTGGGGATCCAGACCAGCAGAGGCTAAACTGCATGTGTCAGGTGCGTGCATTGGATGGATACGTCCACAGAACTGCCCTGTGGAGGAGGGCGGACCAGTTGCT